ACGGTTTAGGGGTTTTAGGTTTCAGGATAGCAGGCTGCGGGTTTCATGGTTTACGGCTTAGGTTCAGATCTTTATGGTGTAGGGGGAAGGATTTAGGGTCTAGTCTGGGGTTGAGGGGGACTGTAGGGTCTAGGGTTTTCTTGCAAGGGGTCACAAAGTGGGAAAGGATGGTCTTCCTGAGAAGAAAGCCCTGAACCCTAAACCCCTAAACCCTACCTGAAGCGATTGGTGGCTAAGGTCACCCAATGCCCAATGCCAGACTTACCGGTTTCCTCACATTGGGGCATTGGGGGCTCCTTTTCAGGGTTTGTGGTTTAGGGTCCCTGTAAGAAGGCCTATAGCCTTTTGTGTATGGAAAAGGGGCGACCCCAATTTCTTCTAAAAATTCCGATTTGCGCCATCGGGTGGTAGTATGGGTTTGATGTGGTTGGGGGTCTCTTTAGCTTTTCCGTCAGAGGCTTTAAATAGCCCCGTGCGGAACATGTACTAGAAATGAAAGAACATTACTTCAGACAGACAACCAACCTGTAGAAACACGAAAACAATGAATGCGTGCGGAGGCCTCTCCACATGCTTAAGCTACGGCTTGTGAATCACCTGCAGCTTAACTATTTCGGATATGCTGGTGAAAAATTATGAATGAGTTGTCTTTCTCGATTCCTCCAGTTATTACAGGAGCGTAGGATTGGTAATTCGCAAGCAACAAAAATCTAGATGGCTAACCCTAAACCCTGAACTGGGGCGCGCACCGTAGAAGCAACCATGTACGCGCCGGGGCCGGGCGTTGCAAGCTGACCGGTACTAGCATTATCCGGACCTTGTAGCAGCCGGCTACAGGCGTTGATGCTTAGACCCTATTGCGGGTTTCGAGGTCTAGTTCACCGTAATATAAAATATACTATAGTATGCTATATTATACCGAAATATACCCATAATATACTGTAACATACGGGGTTCCGGAATGTCTGGATTCTATTTTGGGCTTCCACAATCAGGACTACAGTTTGGGGTGCACCAGCGCAGCGCTGACTTTCAGCAAAATCTCCCGGCTGTGGGTTGGGACGACGGCCTAGGGTTGAGGGGTTTTGGGTTTAGGGGTTTTGGGTTTAGGGGTTTTGGGTTTAGGGGTTTAGGGGTTTAGGGGTTTTGGGTTTAGGGATTTGGGGTTTAGGGCTTAGGGTTTAGGGTTTGGGGGTGGCACTCAAGCCTAAACCCTGAGTGTGTTTAGGGGCAATGCAGGACAGGGGCCACCCTCAACCCCATTCCCACCGCAGAATGAAATATAACCTAGATAACCCCATATAGATATAACCCCATAATATGACCCCAATATAACCCATATAACCCAAATATCACCAATATAACCCCTATATACTTGGGTAACTCTCGAGACCCTACAGGTCTCAAGATCTGCTCCCTCACAGGATGAAGAAGTTTGCGATACTGGAAAAGAAAATTGAAACTGCTACATTAGAATAGGGTATAACGGATTGGGGTTATACAGGGATAATGGAAAAGAAAACGGAGACTACTACATTACAATAGGGAATAACTAGATTGGGGTTATATAGGGATAATGGAAAAGAAAACCGAAACGACTAAGTCGTAATAGGATCGAGTTACTTCTATTCTAATGTGGGGGTGTGCTGGCTACAAGCCCTCACCCTTGACGAGTCTTCATGAGGATGTAAATCAAGGCCTTTTCTGTACACGTAGTAGTGCAGGGGAGTACACAAGGTGTGTGCCAAAACTATCGGCATGCTTTCCGGCTCAGGGGAAGACATACAGGAAAAGATTAAGAGAGCCCTTCAGCTAAATACCGTCCCTGCAGAATGGTTATTCACAAACTTCCTGGAGATCATGACTACTTTTCTATCTACTTGAGCAAGACTGACTGAAGTATTACTGCTAAACTCTGGACCATGGAGCCCAAACCCCAAGCCAATAAAATCGTGAAGGCAAAACCCTGATTCCACTTTAACCCCTCTATAATGTCTAAACCCTAACAAATGCTGCCCTGACACGCCCGGAGGTTCCAAAGCGCCAAGACGGCGTCTTGCTGCCAACCACGTCGCTCTGGCAGGAACCAGGGACTTGCTACAGTAAAGCCTAAGCCCTAGACCCTAAACCCAATCCCTGAATGGCCTCAACAGGGTTGGATTGATAAAGGCCGCCTAAAACAAACCTATAGCTTCGAGGAATTTCCAAATCAGGCTTCCAGATTGTCTTGTGTCTGGGAGCACCATGCGTGGTCTGTACCTTGAGACCTCTGCATGGGAGATTACCTATTTCTACCACAGTGCATTGCAACTTTCCCATTACCCTGATGCCGAATATTTGCATGGTGCTGTCCAATTCTGGATAAACAAATGGCATGTGCTCTTGGTGGAACGGGGGCTGCAAGACCTATACAATCTTCAAAATTGGAGAATGTATCGTTCGGGGGTGGGTGATTCTTAGGTTAGGTTAGAATGCATACAACATCCCTGTAGATCCCCGGGCCCTTTAATTAGTAGTTAAACTGTTCAGGTCCTGACAGCAACCTTCTCTTTGCCATACTTACTGCCTTAAGCTTGAAACCCAAACCCCTCTACCGCTAAACCTCCTACCCCTCAAACCTCCAACCCCTAAGCCTAAGCACTAAATCAATTAATCCCTTTCCAACCCCGATAAACCACAAAACCGCCATAAAACCCTAAAACCCAACCCTTACCAAAAAAAAACTACCTCTAATCAACCCCTAGCAACTCTCAAACACCAATAAAACCGTGAAACCCAAACAAACCCCTAAACCCTACAAAGCCCTGAACCCTAAAACCCTGACACCAGCCTGCGAGTAGTCGCCAGGTCCGGGGTAGATCCGCGCCTCCCCAGCATCCTCAGCAGCCGGCTACTCACTGGTGTTTAGTTATAGTCCCCCTTAAGTAGATAGAATATGGCTTTGGGTATGTTATAATAAGATCCCCATATACCCCAAACTCGATCTACTTAAGGCTATAAGGGTCTAGGGTTTAGGGTATGAGCTTGGGGTTAAGGGTCTAGGGTTTAGGGCCTGAGTTTAGGGTTAAGGTCATGGGTTTAGGGTCTGGGGTCTGGGGGCTTCGGGTCAAGGACTTAGGATTTAGGGTCGAGGGCTCAGGGTCTAGTGTTTAGGTTTAGGGTCTGCGGTGGTCTTCAGGGGACTGTAGGCATGGCAAAGACAACGGCAGCTACCATAGTGTTTAGGGTCTAGGGTTTGAAGCTTCCGGTTGGGGTGTATGGCTTCGGGGCTGTAGGTACGACTCCAGGGGCGTCATAATAATTATAGAGATCCACTCCCCCAACTGCCCCTAGGCACCAGCAAGGCTTAGGAGCTTTCGAAGTAGGGTTTCGAGCTTGAAGGTTGGGGGTTGGGGGTTTGGGATTTATGCTTTTGGGAGTTAGGGTTTCGAGTTCAGTGGTTAAAGTTTAGAATTCAGAGTTTGACTTGGGGTTCAGGGTTTGAAGGTTGGTCTAGGTTTTAGAACCGATATAGAATTTGAAGACTGGGACTTGCTTCAAAAAAATCAATACATTGGGCAGTGTAAGCTTAGAAGTGTGGGACCCAGATATGGGCCCTTACGCCTTTTTTGGGTGAGTTTCTGGGGACCCTTAAAGGTACAGATAGGGTATATAATGAGTATATGAGGATACCAGGGCTAAGGGCCCATCTAGGGGCCCATGGCTTCAACCTTTGAATGTGGCATCAGCTTCGTGAATCCCCTAGGGATCTGAATGGGCAGCTCGAGGACGAGCAGAAGTGCCACTGAGAGCTGAGGATTATTGATTCGGGTTTCGGGTGTGAGGGTTTTAGGGTTTAGGGATATGGATTGGCCGTGAATCTTAAAACTTCAATCAGAGACCCCTACATCTCACACGCACACCCGCAACCAGAAGCTCGCGTCGTCCTCCAAAGATCGACCCATCCCTGATGACATGCAATGCAGGGGGCTAAACAATTACCAGTATGAGGTCTTGCTTGAGGCTTTCTTATAAGGAGTCTGCGACCATAAATTTTGGCAGTGGTTTGCGCCCCTGCAGTACCTGAGCCCTGCCGGAGTGTGTGACAAGGCTCGAATCTCTTACCCGCGGAATAGAGGGGCGGCTTTTTGCCCAGAAGAGCCTGCAGCAAGTCGCTGAGGGCAGGGCTTAGGGCTAGGTCATTGTGATGGCAACGTAATACTCATGGCTTAATACCA